AGCAACCTTACATTTAATATGTGTTTTGAATTGGGAGGGCTACTGACTGGAAGAACCTACCATTAAAGACTTGAAAGCACTCTTGCACACCTGATAAAAGCAATTTGATCCATCTTTCACATTTTACAGCCTATAAGGGAACCTGTTATTAAGTAACCTTGAAGCAAATTTCCAAATACAAYGAAGTGAGTGCAAATCTATTGCAAATCTGTTTCCACAATAAAACAGAAGTACCGATGATAAAGTACCAATGAAGAAAAAAAACCCTTATTTTTAAAATAGGAGCAAATTWAATTTAATTATTTAGAACCAATTGCTACATGAATCACAAATGACATATTTTATTGAGAGAAAAAGCACTAACTCCACCTCTGCAAGGTATAATCTTATATTTAGATGTAAGAGCTGTCTCACTAGATTCGACAGGTCAAAATACTTCAAAAACTGCATTCTGCACAGTTAAAAGAAGGTTCTCACACTTGATAATCCCATACACTATAAAAACCACACAGTGCTCTTGCACAGGCTGAAATAGAAAAAACTGTATTAAGTCAGMACTTCAGTGATTGTACTAAGTTATCTGAGTTCTGTTACAAAATTGCACCAATTTGTGAAAATAAGATAAGGCAGCCTGATTAAATGTAATGCAAGAGTCACTGCTGAGCACCTGAAGCAGCTGGCTAAGACAGTGTAGTTAGCTAAGAAATTCTTTAAAGGTGGCAGTATCCCTTGATAATGAGAAAAAAAGTAGAGGCAAGAAAGGAAATCATTAGGTTTGTGTGACCTTCAGGCACTATAAAAATATCCAGAAAAAGATGGGAAAGTGAATTAAGTGAAGAAATATTGTACCAGGTGTTTTTGGACCACATTCAAAATTTTCAATATGTAYAGCAGAAAATGTTTTCAGCAAAAAAAAAAATTAGCCCACATCCCTTAACACCTCTTGACAGGAGAAGAGGCATGCAGTAATTCTAGATACTTCTTAAGCTACATCCCCATGAATGAATACACCCCAACTTTCGAAAACTTGCATTACTGTTCTAGAGCTGTTGCCAGTCCAGTCTCCCTATGTGTCATATCCTACATATCCCAGATTACAAATGAAKGTTTTGAAATTGAGTGAACCTGCATTTTCATTAGTGATGTTGATGGAGAAGCAGAAGTAAGTCCAGATTCGTCAAATTGTATAAAATCAAAAATAGAAACAGTAAAYCATGCATCCTCCTAATACATAACTGCATTAGCTTTATGGAGTCAAGTATTTACTTTCTTGACTCATTACTGTGGAACAGTAATTATCAAAAATTATAAAAACATTATCAAAAGGTCTCTGAAATAAGCACAGGTCCAGCGGAAGTGGGATTTCAGTTAGGGTATAAAATTTCATGACACCAGAAGGTGCTGGAGTGAATGTTAGAGATGTCTGATGGGTAAAAGCCCTGCCCAGATGATGTGGAAAAGGTAATTTACACACGTGGTTCMTATGGTTAGTTTCCATGTCCATCATCTCAGCAGCCATACTGCAGTCGTTTGTTGTGGTCTCACAAAGCATTTTTATTGCCGTGTGGACACCCTTGAATGATCTTTTGTTAACGCCACTGCAGCTGGTGTTACCTCTGTTTTTACKAATATGCCTCTGCTACACTGAATAGCATCTTTCAGTGTATACACTGAGCTCTGCAAAGCTTGCTCTTTTTTGGTATTGGATAAGGCTTTTTCCTTTAGTGCTTTCTAAAAACTCCTAGGTCTTATGAAGAATATGCTCTGGCAATGGAATTTCTTAGGCTCTTTTTTTTTTTTTTTCCTCTATGTTGTTTCTTTTTTCTTACCATCTTTCTATATTTTGGACTTTTTTTGGAGTGTAGAATTCTCAGTTATTTTTACAGAAATTTGGCATTAGTAGGAACAATAGGGTAATAGCCCAAGTAGCTTTTTAATATCTTTTATTGTAGTCTGTAGGTGTCGTATCTCTGTTGCATGTTGCTATGGGAACTTATTGTGAGCTTTTCAAATGACCAGCCAATATATGTCACTTCAAATATTTCATAGTGGTTTTTCTACTCTCCAGAACCTATTTTTTCTTGTGTCTGTTGTGTTTCCTATCCTGTGGTTAATACAGTTTTGCTCAATAGTGCTYGGCAGTATTTATCTTGCTCTTGCAATTAGAGAGGTTAGGAAAAAAAAMCAACTGGTTTTTGAATACCTCCATTAATCGTWATTATCAACTCAGATCTGCAGTAACTGTTTGTCTCTTACTTTATAATGAAGTGTGCATGCACATGCTTGTAGRCATACACACACTCGTGTAAAATCAGCCTTTTTGGCACAGCAGAAACAGGACCTGTGACAACCAGTAAGAGCAGTTCCATCCAGCATAAAATGAAAAGGTTGGAAAGAACAAAGCTTCATCTTAAACAGATTTTTCTTTCATAGGGTTCACTATTACCATGAGCTTCTGAGCTGCCACTAATTAATTTGCAGTACAAAAGTGCATAACCATTCAGTTTGCATGAAGAATAGATTTTATTTCTGAAAATAAATACACTCATTTTTGAAAGTGAACTTCAAAATTTTCTAGCAAAGAAAAATAGAATAAATAGCGTCTTTCTGTTCTTTTTCATTAATCAGTGCCACAGAGAGGAAGGTTCACCTGTTTAGCTCTGGAAAGGCAAACTCTCCATAATTGTTATCTTATACCTTGAAATTGTAATGAGATATCCTGGACTGCACAACGAAACTAAAGTGAAACCATAGCTGATCAGTTTTCTAACATGCTGTGTGATGAGTATGACCTCTTGTGTTAGACATGGGAATATTAATTTTTTTTATTCATGCAATGAAATAGCCAAGCAAGTAGACTAAATATCTACAAGCTACTAACAGCACTGTCCTTGCATTTCTACAAATAAACAGGATAGTAGGAGGATACAGGCATAGAATTTTGGACTTGTGAATTCTATATATGAATTAGAAAAATAAAAGCAATGATTTCCCCACACAGAGCAAAGATATCAGATATTTTAGTACAAGACTTAAAAAAGATATTTTTTTTTTTCTTCTTCACAATTCTAATATAAGCTCCCATAATTAGAATAGATGAAGTTACAGGACAGAGTCTTGGTGACTTTTAAATAAAACATGGAGATTGGCACATTTCTTAAAAGGCTTTTCAAGGTAAACTAGGTCATGAGGACTTTATCTTCTGGTAAAATGAAAGCTTAAAAGTATGAACCTTTAAGCAAAATTAAGGACACAGYATGAACAGAAAAGGAAAGATGAAACCTTGCCTATCTGATCTTTAACTAGTTCACAAAACACATATTTTGAAAGCATGCTTCAGAGTGACATTTATTTACAGAACAGCAAAAGCCCAGGTTCCCTGGGATTTTAATTTTCAAGGATCCCTGAGATTCATGTGTGCTTGAAAACACAGGCAAAATAGGACTGAGACAGAATTGTGTCAAACAGACTATTCATTATTAAAAATAAAAATGCCTTTTTCCTTGGCCATTGATGTTCAGGGAAACTGAGTGCAATAATGAGCATCCAGATACATTTTAGTGGAATTTAAAAACCACAGTATTTTATCATTCATGCAATGAAGTGTGTACTTTTATTTGAAATTGGGTTGTTAGACAAATTTTGATTTATCATAAGGTATTATGATGTTGTGTATCATATATATGCCTATTTATGAGGGTTTTTTCAAAATAATATGTTATTGAAACAAACACAAATTAATTTTGGTCTGGCTCTAAATAATTTATATTGTAAAACACAGTATTTACTACATTAGTGAGGCTTGTTTCATTGTGAGGGGGATAGGTGTGCTTGCTTTAAAAGGTACACCTTGATTAGGAATTAAGTATTTAAATTTTTATAACAGAGCATATTTAAAAACTTAATGACATTGCCTCACTCATCTTTCTAAACTACAACTCATCTAAGGATTTTCAAAGGAAATTGAATGTCATGGGAGACACAGAAATTACAAGGACTGAGTCTTTTATCCTAGAAAGGCTTGGTGGATTTTGTCTTTAACATTGCTGAGAAATTAAAGATGTAAGGAAACCTTCCACACTATCAAATACTGCCTAAGGAAAAAAAAAATAAAAAAGAAGAAGAAACCCCCTCTTATAGTCTTCCCTAGCTGACAGGAATGACACAGCTTTAACAAGGTAAATCACTTTTCATTTTCATCATCCTTCCTTTAAAGAATCTTCCCTTAAATAAATGCAGAGAGGAGACGTTACCTGGTGCAGACATTGCTCTGCCTAATGGAGCTGCCAGAGTGGATTACTCACTGGGGGCTTGGGAGGGAAACAAAGGGGGAAAGGCAAAATGGTAGCAGAGAACCAGCTCCAGGACCGTGCCGGCAGTGCACGCCAGGGACCCGGAGAGGAACTACTCAGTGACACCGGTCCCGTTTCACGGTGCAGCTCCTGCCGAGCCGCCGGAGCAGGTCTCCAGCCCCCGAACCACACCCGGCTGCTGCTGACCGCACTCCCCGGCTGCGCCTCTCCCTCCTCCGGCTGAGGGCAGGAGCGGCCGGCAGCAGCCGCGCGTCCCCCCACCCGTGCTTCCTGACAAGCCCGGGATGTGCCGGGGAAACCTCCTCGCTCCCCGCCGCGGCCCCTTCCAGCTCCCTGCGGCACGGGGCGGCGGGAGGGCAGCGAGCCCCACGCTGTGTTTTGCAGGGCGGCGGCGCTGCTGGACAGCTCCGGAGCGCGACGCGGCGCCCATGTTCCGGAGAAGGCGCAGATGTGAGTGGGGAGCCGGGGAGAGCCGCCGGGGAGAGCCGCGGCGGAGCCCCTCCGCCRGCAGGCGAGGGCGAGGGCGATCCCCGCCCCCGGGAAGCCCCGGGTTTCCGCGGCGCGGTTGGCGGGCGGGGCGGGCGGGGGGCGAGGGCAGCCCTCACCTGCGGGGGGCGGGAGGCGGGATCCCCGCGCGGGGCCCCCCCCGCTGACGGCGCGGCCGCTCCGCCCCCGCCAGGTGACGTGATGCCCGTTGTTTTGGTGCRCCCGACCAATCGGACGCGGCGGCTGGATTCTACGGGAGCCGGGATGGGCCCGTCGTGGCGGCAGCAGGACGCTCCCCTGCCGACCGTCACGCATTGCGCAGGGTGCACCACCGCCCGGTCCTCCTGCGGCTTTAACGGCCCCGGCATGGACCCGCCGCGCCACTTCCCGGCGGGCTTCGGCCCCGAGCAGCAGCAGCAGCAGCAGCAGCAACAGCAGCAGCAGCAGCGCCCGCCGGCGCCGCCGCACTGCCAGCAGCACGGCCAGGACAAGCAGAGCCTCCTCCAGCAGCAGCAGCAGAGCCCGTGCCTTCAGTGCAACAACTGCGCCTACTACGGGGCTGCTGCGGCAGCCGCCGGGGATAACCTGCCGCTGCTGCTCCGCGCCTCCTCGCCGCTTTCGGGCGCCTTTCGGACGCACTCCTCGCCGCTGTCTTCCGCCGCCTCCTCCCGGCACGGCAGCCAGCTGAACGTCAGCGAGTTCGCCCCGTCCAGCCATGCTGGCGCGTCCAGACAGCCTCACCAATATTCTCAATACCACCAGTGCCATAGCCTGCAGCAGCAGCAGGCAGCCAGCCCCAGCAGCAGTGTCAGCAGCAGCAGCACTCACCATCATCACCATCATCACCATCACCACCACCATCACCAGCAGCAGCAGCAGCGCCGGGAGAGCAACCCCTTCACCGAAATAGCCATGAGCAGCTGCAGGTACAACGGCGGCGTCATGCGGCCGCTCAGCAACCTGAGCTCGTCCCGCAGGAACCTGCACGACCTGGACTCCGAGTCTCAGCCGCTCCAGGCGCCGCTCGCCAGCCCCGCCGCTGCCGCCGCCGCCGGTTCTGCCCCCGCCGCCGGCAGCCCCGCCGCCCCGGAGATCGTGGTCTCCAAGCCCGAACACAACAATTCCAACAACCTAGCGCTCTACAGCTCCTCCGGCCCCGGCCCCGGCACGGGCAGCACCAACAACGGCGGGGGTAAGTCCAGCAAGAAGAAGAACCAAAACATCGGCTATAAGCTGGGACACCGCCGGGCTCTCTTCGAGAAGCGCAAACGCCTCAGCGACTACGCGCTCATCTTCGGCATGTTCGGCATCGTCGTCATGGTCATCGAGACCGAACTCTCCTGGGGCGCCTACACCAAGGTACCAGCTCGGGCGGCAGCCGGTGCCACCGCCCGCGGCTCCCGTCCCGTCCCCGTCCCGCGGTGTCCCCACTGTCCGGTGGCGCGGTGCCGCCGGTCCTCGGGCCGGGGTGGCGGTGGGGTGGAGCGGCTCCCGCGCATTGGTCTCTGAGGAACGGAGGTGTCTTTCTCTTGCAGGAGTCTCTGTATTCCCTCGCTCTGAAATGCCTTATTAGCCTCTCCACGATTATCCTGCTCGGGCTCATCATCGTGTACCATGCAAGAGAAATCCAGGTAACGTTTTCTTCTCTGGGTCAGGGAGCTTTGCTGGCTTAGGTGGGGTTGCGAGGCGGTTTGTCCAGGGGAGCGGTGGTGGTAAGTACTGGGCACATCCCAATGGTTCAGAAAGCAAACGCGGTGTCTGCAAGCCTGCCCAAGTTGGTGAATGGACCTCAGCCCTGGAGATGGACACCATGCGGCAGGCAGAGAGGAGCCAGGAGGCTTTGCCTGYAAGGGAGCTCTGCTGGCTAGGGACTGTCACCTGCAGTTATGCTATAGGATTGCTTTGCCCTGAGGTTATAACATGCTTTCTAGGTGATGTGCCTGTCATCTCCTGTAGCAGATGTATTGGCAGTAGTGTTTTATTTCCCAGTGACAGAATTTCGTGCTGTGTGTTTTCTCTTGATGCAAGGTTAATGGTTTTCACTGTGCAAGGTATATAATCTTCACTGCGCTCTCAGATAAGGGTATACTGTAGGAGGTTGTTTAAGAGGAGGGGGAAGATTTATGTTTGACTTGTCTTATTTAATGCTGCACAGTGTCTAGGAATGTGACCAGAGAAAAGTGTCAGGAGGGATAGGGCTAATGGTATGAAGAACGTAATGGTCAAAGCTATAGAATAAATCTCGCAAATACTGTCAAAGGCTCTGTCCAAGTGACTTAGTTCTAATTTTGGTTGTAATTTTTTTGACTAAGAAATTAAAATATAATGTTTCTGCTCAACTGAACTGCCCAACAGAAAGAATTCAAAGTTTTGAAGGGAAGAGTAAATACCTTGCACATAGATATAGATACAGCTTTTGCTTTTGCGGAGTAGAGACTCCTTGAGCTGAAGACTGAAATGTCAGGTTTCAAGGGCAAAGAAGATGATTTGTCTAGTACCAGTCATCAAAAAAAAAAATAAAATTAATAATTATGTAGTGCTCTACTACTGTGTAAATGAATGCTGTAGTTTCAACATGAAATGGTACATAGGCTCCTACTTAGGGTGATGTTAGAGAAGAATTATGACTTTTTGCCAAATTGAATCCTGTTGTACAGTCCTTGCACATGCAAAACTTCTTTTCCTGGTTTAGAACCCAGTTTCTTTGTATTAATGTCAAAGATATTGAAAACCGTTTAATGATACTGTACTAAATAAATGTTCTGAAGAGAGAGAAAATTTATAGACTACAGGAGTGCTGGTGAACAGGTTTCTTTATCCGTATAAAAATAAGTAGCACTCGTGCAGTGTGAAAGCCTTCTCTGGTGTATCTTCCCACAAATGTTGCTTCAGGCATGARGAGCAAAACTGAAAATAAGCCCTCTCTAAATGTTTAAAATACTCTATGTATTTTCCAGAAACTTTAAATGGAAAGGTTTATGGAAGATAACGAAATAATTGTAGATCCATGTAGGTCCCCCAGCTTATACTAAGTAATTACCCCAAGATACCATTGTTTGTTGGGTTTTTTCAGGTAAAGAGTTAGAAATTGTCTTTGTCTTAGGAATCAGATCCCTTACAGATCAGAAAAAAAATACTAAAGAAATTCATTTTACTTTGGTCTTTTTTTTAACTGATTGTTTTAAAGAACTTCCTCATATATGGAACTACATGGAAGGGGTTACACAATCATATGACTTAATCACAGTTAATGTAGTTTTCAGTGCTGTCTGCCAGAAGAGAACACAGGTATACCTGCCTGTAAAGCAGCAATACCCCCTGTTTTAGAATTAGAGACTCCAGAAACTGCGGTAGCTATGACAGGGCYGGGAGCGAACTGCAGCTACAAGGGGTTCTGTCATTCACATCAAAAATTAAAGGAAGTTCTCTGTTTCAAGGAGTTTGTTAGAAAGAAAGGGTACAGCTATTAGGTATCTGATCACTTTCGAATTTAAGTGAAGTATGTTTTTCTGCACACACTTGACTTATAAAAAATAAGATCACGAGAGTGCAGGGCAAAGGCTATTTCATTTCTATGGTCATAAAATTTATGTCGCACTAGACACCTGAAAAAAAGATACCTTTAAAATCCCTTGGCTTAGTGAGGTACATAATCTTCTCCATGCAAAAAAAAA